AATTTCCTATATATTTTTTAAGTGCACGTTCTTTCATAGTATTTTCACAAAATCGAATGTCTATATCCTGTAAGTCATGTTTCAAAAAGTGAGTAAGATGCATTTCGAACGGATCGTTTGTTGACGAGATTCACTATTCCGACAAGCTCATGGAAATTTGATACCATTGAAGAAAGATTACCGGTAATAAGCAGATGGTAATATTCTTTCGCATCACTGGGAGTACAATGGGCTTGCGACGTCGTAGGATCTAGAAAGCAAACAGAATATGAATGGAGCCGACTCGCTGCATGAGTAGATCTTATCGCGATGAACTGTCAGGGGTGGATCACCGGATTGCTCTTATCCCAGCTTGCCCGAATGTTCATCCCCTTTGACACGCAACCCGAGCTCATCCTCGATAACATAATAATGGTAAAGACAGCGCATGGTGATGCTACGATAACTATAAATAGTCACACAACTAAAAAAGATCGGAGCTTTCTATACTTTAAAAGATTTACTATATAACATTTTTATTTTATACATACTGCTTCCTTACTTCAAACGTGGCACAACTACAAAAATTAAGTTTCTTAGAAAAAAGGGAAAAAATTATATTTAATTTTACAGAAAATTATTGACTAATCAAATAATGTTGACAAGAAGAATGTATTCTTATAACACGATCAAATATTATTTTTATCATTTTTGTTTCACGAGTATCTAAAAAATCACTTTAAAGGTGAACGATTTTTTATGAAGTTAATTATTAGAGGAAGGTCACCGATACCGATATACCACTTTATTTTTAGACAATGTTTTTTAAACAAAAGGTAAAAATACAACTTCAAAAACATAAATACAAAGTAAAAAGTGTCTTCTATCAGATAGTATAAGCAATTTTTATAATACTGTTTGCAATTTTGCAATAATTAAGTTTTTCGTAAGTTATGCAAAAATGAGCGTCTGACAAAATGGGCTCCAAAACTGACATAGTAGGCAATAATACCAACTTTCCTATTCTATAAATATAAATATATATCTTATTCTATAAAGAAAACTAATTTATGAAACTATAAACATTTAAAATGATATATTATCAATAATACAGTCACTATTATTTTAATTACGCAATTTGCAAAAGAACACCGTATGAATTTTCTTCTCGGATTCATAGAATTGGTTTTTAGCTGATTTGGTAGAAATAAGCCACAAATATATGAATTATGAATTTGTACTTCTTTAATTAGCTAAATAGATCATGATTTTATTACATTTTTCTTTAAAAAATATAAGTTTCTTCTAAAATTGCATATTTTTTTCTTTTTATAGATTTAAATTAAATCATGCTAGCGTACATCGTATTAGGTTTTATGGAAGAGCACATGTCAAAAAACTTAAGCTGACCACAGCGAGTTGGCGCTATATCTCTTTGTTCAAAGTAGAGGTTGAAACAACCAAGGGATTAAGATTATTGCTTATCCAAAATTAAAGCTCCATTATTTTTGTTAAGTATTGATAATATAATTGCTATTATTATTCTATAATGTAAACAATAGTAATTAAATGATGTTATACTTTAACTTAATAAATAATCCTACTAAAAAGTGATCGCAAACTTTCAATTTTATTTCACTCGCGGTTATCATAAATTTGATAATACTACATAGAAACTTAACTTCTATTTAATTTTTTATACACTTTTTATTTCTTTCTCTTTCTATTTTCTCCATTTCATTTCTCATTTTTTTAAGAGTTATAACTTGAAAAATTTTCAACAGAATTTAATTTTTTTACTTTTTTAATTTTTAATTATAAAGAAATCAAAATTACGTAGACTATATATATCTATTAAAATTTATTTTAGAGTGTTCTTTATATAATTTTTCGAAATTTTAAGATTTATAAATTTCAGAATTTCTGTATAATATATATTTTATATGACTTTTTAGAAAATTCCTCAGATTTTTTTATACAAATTGGAACACTTCTCACAAGTGCTGCAAAAGCCTAACAAATTTTAAAATGTCTAAGATTTCTAAGATTCCTATCATTTCTGAAGAAAACTTATAAAATCTAAAAATGTTTAATATTTTTTTAGAAATCTTAATAAATTGAAAATATTTTGAATTCTTTTAAAAAAATATAAAAAATAATTATAAAATAATATAAGAAATTTTTTCACAAGAGCAATTACTATACAAACTTTTAGAAGATGTACAGTTTGTGTATGTTTTCATTTGATAAATTATATACCAGCGAAATTAGCGCGTTATTGTAACAGCGTGTTAGCCGTGTGCAAGTGAAAATCGATACCCTTCTATGGGAAGCCAAAGAAACCAGTATTTGAAAAACGATTTCGTATTGTACCCACGTTGTAACGTTTGCAATGCGGCACGCGCCACCCCTGCCACGTGCCAGCCAATCTAAATCTAATAACACAAACAGCCTTACAATACATGCATCATATACGCCCGCGTTTGGCGGCGGATGTAATGGGACACCATGTGAACTAATCGCTCTGGAGTGGTCTTTCAGATCCTGTTTCGTTCTCTCTCTCTCTCTCTCTCTCTCTCTCTCTCTCTCTCTCTCTCTCTCTCTCTCTCTCTCTCTCCACCCCCCTCCTTCCCCCCTCTTTCTTTCTCTGGGATAAATAGGTTCCCAGCTGGGTTTGATGATCAAAATATTATGCAGAATGATTTCAGTTCTTTCTTTCACAGAGAGATTCTTATCTTACGATACTAAATAATTATCTTCTAATATATGTGATACTTATCAAGGAAATATGATATTATAATTATTATTTGTGCTAATTATTAGAAAATTGTATTAATTTCAATAATAACTAAATTGTTAATAATAAGTAAATCATTTTATAACGTACTATTGCTGTTTGTTATTCCACTGATTTAAATATTGCGTACAGTTACATTATTTAATTTAAATAAATATCTAATTTAAATATCTAATTTTTCATAAAATTAAAAAATATGTGTCATGATATTCTCTAGACGAAAAAATTATTTATATGAATTCTCTATTTTCAAAAAATGTAGACAATACAATACGATATTTAAGTAAGATTAAGATAAAATACTTACATTAGGCTGCACACAGTTGCTACTGTTAAAATTAAGGATAATATGGGCAAAGAATAGAACACGGAAACTTTTCTATCATCAAGATTTTTAATTCTCAAAAAGTAAGTTTAATTTATTTCAATATACACTGACGAGTGTGTCTATACGCGCGAGTGTGCGTACCGTGTCATCGCGTGCGTACAAGAACAACGCGTCTCGTAAAAGATGACGTGACGTGATTGAACCAAGGTACAATCAATATACATATATATATTTATATATATATAATCAACATCACAAGATCACAGAGCGCTTGGCTCCGGGACGAAGAATGCACTTCCTAGAAGAAAAGTACATACCAAGTCTCTCGATATGCAAAAAGGAACTCTTTATAATAATAACTTTTAACAGTATCTTCGTTTTCACAAACGATACGATCTATATTCGTAAAACTGCTGTAAAAGTTTGGACTAACTGGGAATTTCAATCCGGTATATGCTTCGTATACTTTCGTGAGTTGTATGAGATTTGTTTCGGGCCGGCTTATCAAACGATCCAAAATCAACTATATATACTATATACGTTTTATACAGATCGCGTTTGATCCAACTTTTTAACGTTTTTGGCCTGATTTTGTTGCCAGATACTGGTCATTTATCTAGATTTAGCTTTAAAGCGAAGAATGGAACGGATTGCAACAAATTCAATTTCTCATCCACGAATGGAGACGTAAACTCGCGCATTCCTGATCGGGATCACGTTAAAAAATTGGATGGCACCAACGCAATTATACAGATGCGCTACGTACACCCTACATTTATTTACATCTATGTATAATAATTTTCACTCTAGAGTGACATCAATGTCATTTCGTTGGATTCCTGGAAATAGTTTTCTTTTTGTACATCATAACAATATTTACAGGTATTTTACAAATTACGTTACACGTACGCTAACTAGAGGCGATATTGGTTAGTCATAAATTGTAGGGGTAGGAAGTTAAAATTTCGAAGTCGAAAATGCTCTCTAAAACTATGGTATCTGTTATTCATTAATAAGCGATATGTCCGTCGAGTGGTGTCAATTACTTTTTCGATCTTAATCAGCCTCTGTAGTTTGAATGATATAAAATATTTGATACCATCTTAGCTTCGTTCAGTTTATGTGATTGGCTCTCAATTCATTAAATTTATTTTGTTTAAAATATAAAATTAAAATTGATAAATGTTGCTTGTCAACAGTATCAAATACAGCAAGCGTATCATTATTATATTAATAATAACAAGAAAAATGTAGCTTTTATAATTTATCATAATTATTTTCGAAGCAATTTTTACATCGATAAATCGTAATTAACGAATTCAATTATACATGAAATAATAAAGTAATAATTTAACAGAAATTGCTGCAAATTGTAATCACATCGAAATTTAAAACCACATGTTCTAATACTGCTACAAATTGATCAAAATTATTTATACAAAAATTTAATATAAAATATAAATATATTATAACTATTATAAAATAAAATAAAATAAAATAAAATAAAACATCATTTTTATAAGTATATTTTTTGATAATCATCTGAGCCATCTTTTGACTGAGCTGTTATATTTATAAAAAAACACCTTCTCGTTGTTCGATATGTATCGTTTCTTAACTAATACGATCATTAATAATCGTTGCAAGATAATTGTCTTAGATTTTTGCACTGATTTGCCTGATTTCATACGAAATTGTCGACTTTAACTCCGGCGAAAATGATAATGCCGCATGCGGTCCTTTTTCCTTTATCACAAAAGGAGCAGAAGAGAAAGAGAACCGCAAGTAACTCGAATTCGTGAAGGCAATGTACGTATGCGATATAATTATTCGATAGTATTTATGCGATCATCTGGATAATTATTCAGATGGCAGTCGCAAATGCTACTTCGCTCGTACAACATCTCCGCGCAGATCATGGTTCATGACATTCTCGTCGGAGCTTACATCTCGTAGCACTATTTGCCATTTGACGAAAGCAGCGGACTGGCAGCGGCTGAGTATCCTTGATTGCAGGTGGGCAACATAAATGGGTTCATATTGAATGGTGATCCGACCACCTCTCCTAGTCCTGCAACATACCCACTGTCGGTTACACGTTAGTGCGTTATTGCTGTAATGCTATGACACAATCAATAAATGAGAAATAAACGACAAAAAGCATAATTTATATTCATAACAATAAAATTATTTAAATAAAAAAAGATTTATTTTTTTTTAAATAAAGTATCACGAGAGAAGTGAAGAGAGAAATAATTGTTAACTCTATAAAATAATTAAAAATAATCGCAAAATATGTTAATTTTATTTCCTTTACAGGATTGTTGTACAGAAATCCATTTATTCAACGTTTTAATAATTCTGTTCAGTTAAAGCTTTTAATTCTTGAGTTAAGTATGTGATTGGCGGCGAGGATTCGTGAAGCTTTCTGATAATCCGTGCGAATAAACGGTAGGACAATGGATAATATATGTTAAAGTTCCGCGGATATGAATTCAGAAAATATGTGCAAGGAAAGATACTACTCATTTTTCGATTGCTGTGATATACACGTACACGTATCATATTAGCACTATAATTTTATTCCAAGAAAATTAAATTTTCTTGCTATAAAAATATGTTACTTTTGCTAAAGAAATTGAAGCTATTAATTACAATATTGACCATTTATTGAGTTATAAAGAGGTACGTAGCATGAAAAGAAATATCATGAAAAAAGTAATTTAAATTTAACTCGAAAATCGATAATTTTCTATAATTAGATTGAGATTACTATCGCGTCGTAAATAAGTGTACGTACATTCTCAAATGTCGTCTCATAATTCTTTAATCACAGTGCGAAGGGTGATGGTGTTGGTGATGATGGTGGTGTTGGTGGTGATGGTGGACGGTTAGCGGTTACTGGGCGGCTGTGGCGAGGTGGTGCTGTGTGGGCCAGTGCGGTGGGACTGAGGTGGTCGGTGGTCGTACTACGGGGGCGAACGCACTCCCGTCCCCGGATGTATAGAATATGCCGTATTGTTCGTGCGCTAAAACGAAAATTCCACATAAAGGAAAATCATAAGTGCGTGCATCGAATGATAATATTAAATAGAAAAAAATGTCATGCGTGCTGGATATATGAACGTATATAAGTGTTAGGTTTCTTCATTTTAAGTTGTGCCGAAGATTAATGCTTTCAGCAAAAACTATTTAGTTAAGATATTTTTTAATAGCAACTAAATATTTTGATTATATAACAAAGAATTTAGTCACTTCTATATAAAATGCACTTTTTTGCTTTGTAAATAACAAAAATATTTGTTTATACTAATTAATCGACTTAGTTTACACAAAACTGCACTTTTGTTCAGTACATTTTAATCAAATTTTTGTTGTAACAGTAAAATTTCGATTGATAAAACATTTTTCTAGTGTACACAGTATATATTATAATAACAACGTTTAAAAGCGTATATAAATATAACAAAGATAATGATTTTACGAATGTTGAATCTTAGCATTAATTATTGAACATTTATAGTATTTTTTTTATCGCACTGCAATTTAATTTACGTTGTTATCATTTTAATCGATTTTATACTCGAATTGTAAAAGTCATCTAATGTAAGAAGTTATATTTCATCCCGGCACAATTTGGATTTTGCGGATATTGCAGCGACACTGTACAGACATGGGATCGTCTGCAGGGATAGAGAAAGAGAGAAGGTAGGAGACTTACGTGAGGTGTAGAGAGTTGGACTGCCGGTATACGGATTGGCGACAGAATAACTTCCGTTAGTACTGTGACTGTGTGGTGTGCTGGCTGAACTACCGCAATAACCACCACCGGTTACGACACCACGTGGACTTGCGCTGCTGCTTTGTCTATAGGCATCGGCGCTACCGCCGACGTTGGTTCCGACGCTACCACCGCTGCCACCACCGCCGCCGCCGCCGCCTCCGCCGTCAGCAGCAGCTCCTGTCGTCACGGAACTACCGTCTAGAAATAGAAACCTGCCCGTCAGACAAACTCGTCAGTATTTCAAGTCGTGAGTGGTTGCCTAATAAATTTAACTCAGGGAGCATCTGCGTCTTGATTGGTACGAGTCTCTATGGAGAAGAGATCGTAAGATATTTTACTATTATAAATTGTATAATAAATATATATATTAAATACTAATATGAAAATGATACGAGTGTTTTTAACGGATATTTTAAAGAAGTATTGTTGATAAAAAAAAATGTCATACATACCGTCCGTCCATTTTGCCGCGCTACCATTTTCCTGTACCGTCACTGCAAGTTGCCCCGTGTACGAATTAAAGGCTGTTGCTGAACTGGATGTGGGGGGTGCGGGTGCATGCACCGAACCTGGACTTCTGGGTGCCCCCGCAATCCCCATGTTTCCGCTCTTAGGCATACTATAAATGGCTTCCGCTAGATCCGCCGCCCTCTTTAGTACTATCTCCTTCGGAAGCTTTTCAGGGTCACCAGGGTGTCGCGGAACGAGTTTCTGTAACCTTTGGAAGCCGTAGTCGATCGTAGGTTCGTTTACCGCTGAAAAATTCAGCAAAGGTTCGTTTGCTATTACTGCGTGATCGGGCAGTGACATAATCTTTTCGCGACAATTATTATTCGCGTAGATTTTTTGCAAAAGACAGGTATCTGGCCTTCTTATTTATACTTACAAACATAAACAAATCTACCAGGCGCTCCTTTACAGAATTGCTTGCTTTTGTAATGTAACGTAACGTCAACGACTCCAGGTATTTGTCGCGCCGGTGCCTGCACCTTGATCGCGTGTGGAGTGATAAACTGTAATAAAAATAACAAATACCTTTTTATATATTTATATATTTATCGTATTAAAATTAGACATTTCAACAATTAACATTATTATGTATGTACAATAGAATTATTGTAAATTACTGACCTCGCTCCAAACTAGCATTGATCCAAAAACTACTTGCAATCCATCGAAGAAATTTTCTCCGATGATTATGACGGTAGATCCACCAGACGTCCAACCTTCATTAGGCGATATCGCTTTTATGCACGGTGTTTGGAGAGGTATTGGCGGATATAAACCTAAATTCATAACATAAAAATACTACTATATTTTCAATATATAATTTTATTGCATTTAGTTAGATTCACAATTTGCGTGAAATGCATGGCGCTAAAATTTCTTTAAGGCATAATTAGGTTAAGTATCAACGATCTTAAAATATTAACGATCAATCCTCCAATAATAAAAAAATTAAGAACAACAAAATAAAAAATTATAAGTTGAGAATTAGATAAAACCAAGCGGTATTCTTGAAAATAACTCGCGACTGACGAGAGGGAAGAAATAGGATATGGAAAATTATCTGAATATTCTGTTTATTCGGTTGAGGCCGAGTGGCAGATATATTTTCCGGCGTGGCAGGCAAGTTTTCGAGGTCGTGGGACTCGTGAAAGTGAGAAAGAGGCGGAAAATGAAAGAGAAACTATGAAGGAGAACGGCAGGAAGAGAATGAGACGGTGAGAGAAAGAGAGAATACGAGGAAGAGGGTTGGAGAGCTCGGAGAAGGGTTGTAACAAGAAGGAAAGGGAGGGGGCGATCGGGCCGACGGTGTCTCTGCTTGGAATTTATAACCCAATGATATCATTTTGTACCCCGGCGAAGCCAAGCCACCCCCGGCACCGACCCTGGGCGAAGCGGAGCCACGGCAGAGTGGCTGACATCATGGTATATTGCTCTCAGTGATGCTCAAACACTTTCTACTTCGAGTACTTATGTGCCGTCACATCGATAAATCTCGGCAGCTTGAAAGATCGCGATATTGTTTATATCTGGGCGTATTTAAAAATATTTTTTTTAATATTGTTAATGCTATTTCTTTACAGTCAACTGTTATCCGTTTTTGGCTTTATATAGGCTAATAATAAAATAATTATTGCATTACATGAAATCAATGAGATACTTCGAACATAAATTTTGGAATGAAACTTCTATAATAAAATTGTACTGTGTATACAATCAGAAAAAGTGCACCGTGTACAATTTTATTCATCGGATAAAAAATAAAGTCAACAAGTGACAATCACAACAGAAGCGTTAAAGAGTTGCAAGTGTGGTCCCTACGCAAATGGGTATTCCTCAATGGGACATTGGTATTTATTGCGTTCAATGTACGAGAAAGTCGTTAAAGAGACCGGCCGTGTTGGCAACCATCCTGGTAGAGAATTGTCGAGCGGCGCGGTGCGGGTGAGGGTGGAGAGAGAGAGAGAGAGAGAGAGAGAGAGAGAGAGAGAGAGAGAGAGGAGAGGAAGAGGTGGAGGGTTGAAAAGAGGGATTCAGTAGAGGAGGCCAAGGAACAAGCGTACCAACCCGGAATAAATAAAATCCTCCATGCCACTGAATGGTAAGGGGTGCTACTCCCAACCCTCTCGAACCCCTCTTTTGCCACCGAACTATCGTCGAAGTCGAAGAGCCGTTGTACTCCGACACGTTCGGCCCGATTCTCTTTGATCACTGTGAGATCGCGCGATAACTTCATTCGCCGTGGTAAAGACTCGAGAAATTTACCAGACAAACTGGGTTTTATCTCGGCTTATAATGATGTTGCATAATCGTATTACTAATATTTAGTCGGAGCAGCGAATACTCTTCGATGTCATTTCATTGAACTCCGATGATTAAATATTTGGCTTTACTTTTTAATATGGTATAAACAGAAACAGTATCTCATATTTTTCCGTTACACAAAATGAGTTTGAAGTTTCTACAAAATTTACAATCGTCTGTCTCTCGTGTTATAAATTAAATTTTAAAAAGAAGGTAAAAGCCCATAAAGTATAAAATGAAATCAGCAACGATGTTTTGTCAAATAGGAAATGCGTTATAAAACGACGTGTCGGGGAAGATAGATTGTAAGCAAGCGTTTCAAATTTCATGGACAATCAAGATTTGATTTGTATAGCAACTGGGAGAATTCGTTCACAATGACAGCAAAATCCACGAGATACCGGCGTCCTACGTTCTTCCCCTTTCTCTCGCGTTTCCTGTCTCATTGGTATGCTCGTTTCGGCGTTTCGGGGGATAGCTCGCGGGGGGATTTGGAAAGAGTGGATGTGTTGGTACCTTCATTGGCGTCGCAGAGGCACCAGGAGGGCGGCGCGAGATAGCTTAAACTTAGCATTCACAAACCAACGCACCGCGGCAACCACGGGGTGGAGGAGAGCGCGAGAACGACAGAGGAGGAAACTGAATGAGAGAAGCAGAGATCGAGATGAGAGAAGCGGGCCAATTCCACTCTCTTTCTTTCTGTGTCTTTGCGCTCCGCGGCAGCCAACCAGGTAAAAAGAAGAAACTGACGTGGTGGCGGGTGGAGACGAGAACCTTGGAATCCGCGGTGAGAAGTAGGGGGACAGGCACTCGGGCGAAATTCGAGGGAGAGCAGAGTGGAGGGAAATAAGATGGAGGAACAAGGAGCGCGCGGAACGGAGCATGGATCCTTCGTTTCCCCGCATCCCATTGATTTACATCTTGTCTTGGCATAGGTAGGAAGAAAAGACGGAGGAAGAAACCTGCGCGCGAGAGGAGTGAGCAGTCGAGGGGGTGGCCGCGCGATATCAGCCGTTTGTATGCGCGGCCGACGCCAAACTTTGCTGAATTGCCCTATGACTCCATATATCCCATTCTACCGGTGCGCCCTCCTGCAACCCTCTTACGATTCCGCTGCGCCACGGCTCCTGACTCCCGAGTCGTTATGCCGATCTCGAAGAAAACTGACCCCCATCCCTCGCCGGAAGGGTGCCGCACGAGAGAAACAACACGCCGCGAGCATTCGAATGGCAATGCGCCTCGAACGTGAATCGCTCGGGAAGTCGATTTTGATCGACAAGCGTTGAAAGCTTACGGCGCGGCGTGTGAATCATATCATCCGTGAAAAATCGATGCGTTGAATAAATGAGGGCGTTTAATGTGCGCACCGGGCTTTTTAATTATCGTCCGTTAATTAATTATCATATTTTCTGCGAGTGCTTTGTTAGCACGGTGAAGGCTGACTGCAATTATTATCGGGGAATATAGCAGTTGAGTGCAAAATTAAATAACGAAAAACTGCACGGCGGGCCAATTGGTGTTTACGAGCAAATCGAATTATCGTGTAAATGCTCATACAGTTTCGCGATTAAATATGCAGACGATATCGATGCTCTGTTCCGCATAAATTATCTCTTTAACGATACTGATTAATTGATAGTATTTATGAATCATATACTTACTATTGTACTCGCTAGGATCACTAGGGTCCAAACGTTTCGCCCTGCGCCCGTGCTTGCTGTTGTTATGGACGAACATATTGTCCGAGACCGCTAGTAATGGTCCTTCCACTCCCACTTGCGTAGATATGACCACCTGTTAGGCAAAATGGAAATTTTGTCGATGTGAAAAATGATATGAAACAGGTACTTTCTAAAATTTTTGAAGTAAAGTCTAACTCTGAAGAATAAAATCTCATTCTTAAAAATTGATAATTGAGCCACTATTTTTCAACCCTCAATCAATTGTCACTGTTTATCGCTCTTTAGAATTAGATTTCATTACAAAGATTTTAAATAATATCTAATGTGAAAAATAAGATAATTAGAAATGTAATAAGTAACGTAATGAACTAATAATAAAGAAATTATTCTTTATCTCGTATATATATTCAATCAAACATAAATTTAATATTCTTATTATACATTTAAAAAAAAACATGAATATTATTTTTATAAATTTTATTAAACGATAGGTTCCAAAGTATTTGAGAAACATGAAGATCTATAACGCGGTATGATTCAACAAATGTGTTTGAAATTAATAATTTAAAATATTGTATATCTTCGTAAAATTTACGTTTATATCTGTTTACGACTGACTTAACAGAACGAACGTAGAAAAGTACGCAAAAGACGATACCGTGAATAATATTGCATTTCTCTCGTCATGCGCGTCATACACCGACCCAAGTTCATCATATCTTCTATGAACGAGCATGCACAACTCGATTTGTTGCACTAGATACTATGGCATGCAATTCGTGATTTGCACGTATGACGTTTGACAACGATATAATTGCGCAAGTCATATTAAAGCACACGACTATCTTTTCTTATAGTTAACATAAAATATTTACACATAAATTATTTACGAGATTTTTAATAAGCTGAACAAAATTACTTGCTAAAGTATTTACGCCGTTCATCGCACATGCTTCAGGGCGTTGAAAAGATTTTTCGCGGTAAAGCAGGAAGAACGTTTATAAAATCGAGCGAGCGGCTGGAAAATGCCCGAAAGTTTTGTCCTTCGCAACTTCGCAACTTTCTCGCGTGCTGGCGATATTACTCGGCGAGTAACACCACCGCCAACTTAAAGTAAAACGACGATAACCTACACTGCCCCATGGCGGGAGAGATTTTGACTGTACTAAAATTTTAATTCGCAACTTTCGACAGTAAGCAATTCAGAAACAAATTCAAAAGTACGATGAGTATTCTAATTCCATTTGTCGTTGTGCCGACGCACGAAAAAAAGAAAATGAATAATACGAAAAGAGATGATTCACGCAAAGGACGAACTGTTGAGGTCTTTGACTATGATTTTTTTATAATTTTTGGCTAACTGTACTGATCTCCTATTCATTTTTTGACAGTTATCTTTTAAATAAATATAAGCTTTTTTATTTTTATTGTATACTTTTGAATGCATTTATGTATTTGACGTATCTTTTTTACCTTTGTAAGGTTGATTATTTATTTTTTAATTTTGTTTTGACAGTAGAACGGGAAAAGTACAGATAATATAGAGTTTTTGTAAGCAAGATTGATTGTTATAGGAACAAATGGAGGTGAATGCAAGGATTATGCTGCTCCAAGAATTAATTGTGGCAACTTTTAAATTATGTCTGTTTGATGAAAATTTTGGCCGATTGTCAAAAAAAGTCGTTTAATCAGAATTATCATTGTTATTCGTTTATGGAAATGATTTTGATTTTTAATGAAATATATGGAATAGTAATAATAGAGTTCTACAAATATACGGAAATTTTACGCGAAGAACGATGCTCTCTACGACGATAGGCGTCACGCGATGTTGCGGCGGAATTTTGGCGTTCTCGTCTCCGTCTGTCCGCCCCCATAATTTCGCGAATCGTGACTTGAATGACAGAAGTATCTCGCGTAGTGTGTATTTCAGCATTGCGACACGACCTGGAACGTCTTCGAATCAAGTGAGTGGAAAGCCGAAAGCGATTAACTGTATCTCAAATAGAGCTGTAAATCGCGCTATGTGAATCATCAGATAAATTACATTATGAAGACAAGATTGTTTTTGTAGATGAACGAATTCATAAATTTTGATTAATGTGGGTTATATTCGTTATTTTTTTTGATAAATATTTTAAATTCTAAAAGTTTGACAAAAATTCTTAATGTATATAAACAAAATTAACTCCATTAAACATTAATCGTGCAAATTTATATTTAACATTGATAAATAGAGTGAGCACGGACAACTTACCTGGAACCGTCTCATGTCACGTGGATTGCCAGCGTTCTTGAGGCAGTTTTGGTTACACTTGAGAAAGAACTTGAGGAAGAATCTGCAAGTACAGAGGGGACCAAAGTTAAACGGTTGACAAGGTGCTTAACGCTCTTCAACGCCGGCAACTTAATTAGAACGCGAACTTGGCTGGAAAGCAAGAGTGAATATTGTATAAGCCAATCGCGAGTCCCGTTCCACTCTCCTCTATTATTCACCATTTCTCTAGATTAAACTCCCGACTACGTGTTTCTCGACCTGTAGGCCTGCGCGGCATTGTGTACTGCACGAAATATGCGGCTACTTCACATTGTCCTGCCGCAATGTCAAAGGACATTCCCGTAGTACATTTTTACAATGAAAAGATACCATCATAATAAGCAATAAGTTTTCTATATCATACTTTATAACTATTTTTGTAAATATATCTAAAATGTAACAAAAAAAAATCATTTACAGCTTCTTGAAAATATTAAATACAAAGTAATATTTTAATATATCATATTAAAGTACAATTACTGAGAGAAATTTATGCTTATACTTTTTATCATTAATTTAAAAAAATAACATTAATAAGCACATATAAAAATAATAATATACATGTTAAGTACTTATAAGTACCTGTAATATAGGAGTCATGTAAGATAGGATTTTGAGGTAGAAAGATATATGTATAGTGCATTTATACGGGGATTCTACCAAAAAGCCTCAGGCTCAATTTTCATGAATTATGCAAAACGCCGAGAATATTGAATTTTAGAAATTTTTTTAAGTCGCATCTCACCTATTGGTTCGTGTCTACGGAGGTGGAAAGAGTTGACTGAGGCACAAGGAGAGTTTAGAGATCAGGCAGCTGAATGCCAGACTGAGCAGGATCGAGAAAGCGAAGGAAACGCGTAGGAAACAATCAGAAGGGCCGAGACGACGCGACGCCAACAACGACACTGGCAAGAAGGAGGGGTAGTTTTCTAGGGGGTAGCTGGTAGGCTTTTTGTCCCATGGGACGCCATTGTCATTCCCTCCGAAGAATGCGTCCGTAGTACTAGGGACTTTATGGAAAAATCAAATGCATACCTTAAAATAACGCCTTTTTGTCTGCAATTCTCTCACGCAGGGATTGTCAAAATTGCGAAACGATTGATACTTATTAATCAAGAGTAAATAGATTTTTAATTACCTTCTAATTTAATTTTCGTGTCAAATGCATATCTGCGGGTGATTTAAACATAGGAGAAGACATCGAATAATTTCTTGATTTCTTCAAAAGCATTAAAGAAGATCTTAGTCACAATATAACTTATAAAACTTCAAATTGAGATTATATTTATCCATGGTCGCCAAAAGTATTTAATTCACTTGCTAAAACTCGAAAATATGAAAGATAAAAACGAAACGAATTCATTGTGAGGGCGCAAAAGAGAACGTTGGAGTGAAGCAAAGGACGAAGGGCGAGACGACGTACGGGAGGGTGGGAAATTCGGCGATACGAAAAGAGAAAGGGAAAGAAACGTATCGATCTTGTGTTACACGCGTTTTCGCATCCAGTCGTGGAACTTAGGCAGGTAGATGGTAGACTCGCGCGTGAGAGTTCAGTCTAATGTCGCGCGTGTTTCTGCGCGTTCGCGGAGAGTCGAGCGAATTTAATTTCGTTTACTCTTAGAGAACGTTAAGATGTTATCGCGATGCTGGATGGGTATTCAAAGCATTGTACCTTGGCTTATCGCGGCCGTGGATCTTGCTCTAAACACGATATCTTCGTCGCGCCTGAGGCGTCGCTCGACAACGCTGCCTCTAGTCGTTTACAGATAGGAATACCATCGACCGTACTTGCACCTACGATATTGCGAGAATAGCGCGAAGACGCCCCTTTAACGACGCCGACGACAACGGAAACGAGTCGGTAACCGCCCTCGGATCGAGAACGTTTCACTTTGTATCTATATTGAAATCGTGTGTCACTGTTATTTAATAAAATGCGCCCACGGCTGAACATCTACATCACGTTTACTTCGATCATTCGATATAGATAATGTATATTCAAACTATTTAAATATCTTGCAAATTTGAAAGCATTTATATGTTGCTCTCTTTAAAAGTGACATAACTAAAAAAGTTGAATTTCTCAGAGAAGAGAAAATGCTATTTTTTAACTTGACAAAAAAATTAGTGTTAATCAAATAAACATTGGTAAAAAAAATATATTCTTAACGTGATCACAATTGTCGTTTTATATCACTTTGTTTCACAACCCTTAAAAAAACTACGCTTTATAAGTGACAATTTTAACGATTTCGTCCGAAAAACTATCCTTTTTAAGTTGTAATTTAATGATTTTTTTAGGTCACTTTTAATGATTATTATTAGGATAATGTTTATATGATTTATTCATGGTAATAATAAAAAAATCATATTTTTTAATTATGTCATTTTTTAAATAAAAGAGCGATGTCTGCTAATCAAATGCAAGCCGAAAATAAAGAAATAAAGTTGAAGGAAAAAAGAGGGGGTATTTAAGAAAGTTTAACGCGATAAAAAGAAATTATATATTTGAATGAAAAGTCTGAAGTAATTGAAATATTCCGATCAGCGTTTCGCGCTCACCGCTTCCAGCAAAGAAATCGGGCGATCCGCTTTCAGAATTTGACGCTAACAAAATGACCGTACTTACGCGAAAGAGTTCTATGAAGAGGGAGGAAGGACGTGCGCTTGCTAGGATCGGCAAAGGAAAGATAGGTAGGCTATAGATCTTCGCTTTTTTATATGGGATTCGTTCATCGGCAACACTAATCATTTACGACGCTCCCGTCGCGCCATCGCCATGGCACTTTATTTCTCTTTCTTTTTCCCTTACATGAGATCGTTTCCTTCCGCGCGTCCTCGAAGTATTGGCTGTTAGGGGCTAATGGATTGCGTTACCGACTGATTCAAATGCGAACTGGATTTCATTCCGGGCTCGATGGGGCGGCAGTATCGATGGTGTCGTAACGCGAACGCGTGCAAGAAGAAGGGCTAGTTTCTTAGAGGGGATCAAATTCGATTCCGATAGTCTATTAGATTTTTCTCTTCCGTTGGCGGCCTTCGCGAGCTCCTGTCAGCCTCAGAAAAATCTATTCTGAATCGCCGCTCAGGACACGCAATAGCTATACACTTTACACCATGGAAACATTAATGCAAAGTATCTGCCTTACGTTTTAAATTGTAAAATACTTTTGCATATATATAAGTTTTTCATTACGTAAGATATATATAATGAGTGTATTATCTATACATATATATACATAAACATATATAAATATTTTTTGTTTTTTTAAATTATTTCTATTTTATATAATTTATTAATCACGTGCATTAATAGTCACGTAAAATATAAAACATATGTATTGTATTTTTAAAAATTTAATTAATATTATATAAACAGGTAAATTTTCATTAATAATTTATTAAGTCATTTCCTTCTTAAGTAAAGAAGATATATTTTGCGTTATTAGAAATATATGATTTTTTCACTTAAAATTTCATTTACATATGAAGGGAAATCTTTTTTATCTTATCTTAATGCACCAACATCGCGGTATAATAGTTTTAAATTAAAATTATTTAAAAGCAGTTTGTTTGAAGTTTTTCGACTGTTCGCATTCGCTAACGAATTGACACGGAGGAAAATATACAGAAGCGATTCGATTGCGAAATCATACCCCTAGTCTACCCTCCGGAGCTCGCATACCTTTCCCTCGGATCAAATAGAATAAAACGAAGCAGTAGGCAAAGTGAGGATTGGAGGCTGCAACGGGATGACAGGGGAGAGTGGTAGCTTGTAGCAGAAAACGTTCGTATCGTTCGCTGTTCCCAGTTTTACAGCGAGCAACTTTGCAACGTCGGAGCGGATGAACGAGCGAGCGAGGAAAAAAATCAACGGTATAAATGAAAAAAAAAAAAGGCTAAACATCGGAGGCCCGCGAAGGGCGAGAGTTGTACGAGCAGCAAGCGGGTAAACAGAGTCGAATGAATTCAATCAAACCTTGCAGTAAATCATCGGCATTCGCACGGCAGTTTTGTTTATGTTTTCCGTGTACCAATTAGCGATTTTTCTCGCCGTACCGTAACGCCGATGTTCTTTTCTCTGCGAAAACTATCGACAACGACCGAAAATAATTTTCACGGTTTGCGTGATTTATAGAAATAATTTCTCGTCACAATTTATATATTAATTATAAATATATTCGTTTTTATAATATATACGAAAAGTATATGTAGAATTTGTATGAATAATCTGAGAAAAAATAAGTGAATTACGAAGACTCTTCCTTCTCCTTGTTTACATGCCACCCGGTACGGCATTCGTGGGTGCCAAGTCGCAAGTAAGTACCTTCTGATCTAGTAAATATATTTCCAGCAAGGGCTGAATGGATATAGGGGGCTTACTTGGGGACTCACGCGTAATAGTTCCAAATAGGGTGGCATTACGCGTATCAGAAATCCATTTTCTCCCACATCGGAGAATCTTTAATCATGTTTTCGGTTCTCGCTGCACGCCCCTCTTTTTCACCACTATAAAAGAGCGGATATAACGTGACGAAAATTCAACGAAGAGATTCGTGAACGAAGTCGATGTCGTTCCTTTCATCGTACTTTATTCTTCGTATTTCGTGTTACATAAAAAAAAATAGAAATCATTATCGATAAGATTCGTTGTTTTTAACCGTAATCCGTACTCAGCTTTTTGTACGTGATCAGAAAGAGATCAAGCGCAGAAAAGGGTCTGCTTAGACGACAGAATCTTGCCGAATAGGCGTGTCCGAGTGTGCTAATCACCTCTACGTAATGTAACTGAACCGACTATTCCACTAATATTATATCTTGGCAAATAGCGTCAAGGGATAGATTTCATTATCATTCTTTTATCTCTAGTATCGTAATGAGAATTCTTAACATTTTTATTAGAATAGAAGATACCAAAAGATGCAAAATAATGAAAAATCATTTTGTTTTCTATTATATAGAATGTTAAATAAACATTGTTAAATCTATAGTTAATTTAATGTAATTTAAGTTGCCACTGCT